CCCATGGCCGCCCAATCAAGTGCCCGGATGACGACTGTAATAAGACATCTCTGAGAGAGTACTTTGAGGGTCGTATTGTACATAAAATGTCTCTGCATTCCGGGCATGACGGTACGTGCCCTAAGACATTTTTGTTTTGGATGGTAATGCGCGCGGGAAAGATGAGCCCAGAAAGTTCCAGAGGATTTAAATTTTCTATGGAGGGGTGCCTGACACTTAGGGGGATACCTTCTATCAATGTTGCGTAATATCACTTCTATGAGAAGTGGATTCACTTCTATGAGAAGTGAATTTACACCAGTTTTTCATTGTTCAGTGAGTATCAACAAAACGAAGCTTTTATAGGTGACTTTACAGGCGGATCTGGATGGGAGAATCGAGGAAATACGAACGATCGATGGGGTCAACACAGACGTCCTCCTCCCCCTATGGGCCCTCCTCCTCCAGGCTTCGGTTTTGATTTCCCTCGAAGACCTCCTCCACCTGGAGGGCCGTTTGGACGCCCTCCACCATTTGGACATCCTCCGCCTGGTCCTCCTCCACCGTTTGGACCCCCTCCACCATTTGGACCTCGTCCTCCGTTTGGTCGTCCACCGCCTGGTCCACCCCCTTCAGTAGGTTCTTCTATTGTTTTTTTTTATTCTTGAATATAAAGTGCAAGATTCGCCACATCTTAGGGAAATGATCTCGGACTGAAAGAGATTATTGGACGGGTTGGCCAAATGGCAGCAGAAATTGCAGGAGGCAATGGTGGTGGAGAAGACGTCCTCCGGAGTTTCCGAGTGAGTTTGCAGCCGAGGTCAAGCACACTTAACATATATTTAGGCAAATATGATAGTCTTAACCAACAGCCAGCTTGAAAAAAGTGTATACTCACCTTCCTTGCTCTTGCAGTGTATGGGTCTACAGGTGCAGCAGCGCGCCGCTTTTTCAGGTAATTGGTCCGTAAGATAGCAATACCACCGTCTTCATGCTCCGCCCGCGGTGCCGTACGGCTAAGGCACACCCTAATCTAGGTAAACGGTCTGCTTGTCTGCACTCCAGTAGAGAGGGCACAGTGGTATTTTTGATACATTTCTATAACATGCGAACAACATGCACCAGGTACAAAAACATTTCTCAGATTATTATAAGTTAGAGCTATTATAGTATACCAGTCAGGCGGCTCGCCGGCTGACGGGCGCGCACCTCTTTCGCATACGGCCCGTTTTCGCCGCGCGTACCTTCTTTCACATATTTCTAGACTCAACTGATATCAGGCTTTTGTTCTGTACTCATGGTTAAAGCTTCTCGACAAATACATCATCCCTGCTATTTTGACTATTACTGAGTATGGAGTGGTACTAAAGTGCGTCGATTATGGGCACAGGCGAGAGAATAGCTGGGGAAGGAATGTGTGGCGAAGCCGTGCCCGTCCGGCCAACTTGGGCCGTATCACAGGAGGAGGAGCGCTGGCATCAGCCGCCGAGCCGACTGGAATCTAATACCTATGACGACCGGTGGTTAAGAGTATGGCAGAATACGCGCTAAAACTCAGAATAAGTACGTCGTGCGCTCCGCCACTGGGAGCGGGTTACAACACACCACAGACACACTCAACTCTTGCCATATATCCAACAGTTGAGGTCCTGCACATCTCTGCTTCACATGTTGACGGTGTCTGGACCGCTCTGAAACCGTTTTGCAGATTTTTTGTCTGGCTCCGCCCACCTCGGGCTGGCCCCGTCCACAACATTTATGCCCCACATTTCTCATGCGACCCACAATGTGCTGACCTTAATCCACTGCGTTTTTCTTTGGTCCGGTGTCTGAAGTGCTCTGGAAACTATTTTACAGAATTTTCGTCTGACTCCGCCCACCTCGGAGCAGGCCCCGCCCACAATGTTTGTGCCCCACAATCCTCAATCCAGCCCTCGCTGACCTTGATCCTCTTTTTTCCGGTTTCTGGAGTGTTCTGGAACCGTTTTATAGACCTTGTGTCTGACTCCGCCCTCAACATCTTGCCCCATCTTGCACTTCTAAACGGGGACCGCTTGGGACCATAATCCACTTTTCCGCGTCGTCTGTAGTGCTCTAGGACCAAACTACGATTTTTTTAACTAACACCTCACGTTTGAGGTCACGCCCCTCCCACTGTGGGCGGGTCATAGCACACCTCAGATATGGCGGACCCTCCACAGATGTTTGTCTTCGCCATGGACTTTTTTGCAATCTCTAAACTCTCTCGGGGACCGAGTTACCGACATTTGTGGGAAGCACCGCCCATCTCGAGTACGCCCCGCCCATTTCGGGTGTGTCTCCTCCATTTGATGGGTCAACCCTTTGCCAACCTTAATCCACTTTTCCCCCATCTCGGGACTGCTCTGGAGCCGAATTATGAATTTTTCAGTGACACCGGAAGCACCGCCCATTTCTAGTACGCCCCGCCCATTTCGGGTGTGTCTCCTCCATTTGATGGGTCAACCCTTTGCCAACCTTAATCCACTTTTCGGGACTGCTCTGGAGCTGAATTTTTCAGTGAGACCGCTAACTTTCAACGCATGCCCCGCCCACTGTGGGCGGGGCTTACCATGGGTTACGGTTGCTCTTTACATCTTGTCACATGCCCTACCCATCCCGACCTTGACCCCACCTCTCCAAGTTGTTCTTCTGGTAGAACCGAAT